TACAAATGTGCTTGACACAATGGATGTATATATGGATTGTGATAAGAGTTGTATAAGCCCCTAATAAAATGATTTAAAGAAAAGAAAACAAGGGAAAAAAAAGTTAACTGGCATATAAATCACCTGGTAATCTACTGAGATGCTGACTCTGATTTAGGAGGTGAAGAGAAGAGACAAAATGTCTAACAATTTCCTAGGTGATGGATACTACATGCTACTTGGCTGGAAACCACATTTACCATAAGGATCCAGAACAGCGGTTCTCAACCGGTTCTCAACCTGTGGGTCGCAACCCCTTTGGGGGTTGAATGACTTTCACAGGGGTCGCCCGATTCATAACAGTAGCAAAATGACAGTTATGAAGTAGCAACAAAAATAATTGTATGGTCGGGGGAGCGGGGGTGTCACAACATGAGAAACTGTATTTAAAGGGTCACGCCATTATGAAGGTTGAGAACCACTGATCTAGAACAACAGCAAGCAAACATCTTTTCTGGAAAAAAGATGCATAAAAACGTTTTTATTGTTTCATTTATATCACCTACTAGGATTTTAAAATATTTTATTGTAGTAAAATATATTTAACAAAAATGTTGCCCTCTTAACTATTTTTAAGTGTATAATTCAGTGACATGAATTCACAATGTTGTCCAACCATTAGCACTACTCATTCCCCAGCAATACTTCCCCTTTCTCTTTTCTGTCCTGCCCCAGGTGGCTATTGTCTCATTAGTTGCTACTGAATCAACGCTGACTCAGAGCAATCAAGCGTGGAGGAGCAGAACTGCTCCATGGTGATTTCTTGGCTGTAATATTAATGGGGGCAGATCACCAGCCTTACCCTCCACTGTGCCAACCTCTACGTTCCCTGTCAAGCACAGACTGCTTGTCCCGGCCCAGAGGCCTTCCAATTCCTGGTGACCAGGAATACACTTTTGTCTATGCATCTGCCTGAATGAGATATTTTGTATAAGTAGCATCACATAATAATATATTTTTTTAAATTTTTATGTTTGACTTATTTTACTCAGTATAATGTTTTCAGGATTCATCTACGTTGGAGCATGTATCAGAACTTCATTTATTGTTATCACTGAATGACATTCAATTGTATGAATAGACCACATTTTGTTTATCCACTCATCTGTTATGGACACTTGAGTTGTTTCCACCTTTTGACTATTGTGAATAATGCTGCAATAAACTGGGCGTATAATTAATATTCTTGTGAAAAGACCACATAGTAAATTAGACTTGTAGGTCATTTAGCTCCTAATCCAAATATTCAACGCTGCTATTAAAGTAGCCACAGAAAATACCTAAAGAAAGGAGCACGGCTATGTTCCAACAGAATTTATGTGAACGCTGAACCTAACCACTTGTCTGTTAGTTTGTCGTCCTGTGGTGCTTTGTGTGTGGCTGTGATGCTGGGAGCTGTGCCACTGGGATTTCCAATGCCGGCAGGGTCAGCCAATGTGGACGGCTTCCAGACTAAGAAGTGACAATGAAGAAGAACTCTGCTCCCCACTTTGGAGGAAGAAGCCGCTGAAAACCTTAAGCCTATCTTCTAAGCACTGTCAGAGATACCGCCAGAGAATGGACCCCTCAGGTCTGCAGGCACTTGAAAGGTAACTGAAGAACAGCTGGTTTCTTGGAGGGAAGTCGACCATGGTGATGTGAGTCGGACAAAGCCTGTGGAAATGGAGCCTTCAGAATCTTCATGTGCTGATGGAGCTTGACTCAAAATAAGGAGAAACAGCTGCAAAAATCTTCTAATGCTTGGATCTTGGAATGTCTCAAGTATGAATTTAGGATAATTGGGAGCAGTCAAATGGATGAAGATTGATATCCTGGGTATTAGTGAGCGGAAATGGACTGGTAATGGGCATTTTGAATCGAAAAGGGTATGATTTGTATGCCAGGAATAACACAATCAAGGGGAAAGGTGTGGCATTCACAAAGGACACTGGAAAGTCAGTCATGAAGTACAATGCTCTCTGTGATTGGATCATATCTATCTGCCTTCAAGGAAATCCAATCAATACAACTATGATTCAAATTTATGGACCAAACACCAAAGCTAGTGGTGAAGAAATTGAAGAATTCTACCAATGACTTCGGTTGGAAATTGATCAAACATATAATCAAGATGCAATGATAGTTATTGGGGATTGGAATGCAAAAGTTGGAAACAAAGCGGAAGGAACAGTAGTTGGAAAATAAGGAATTGGTGATAGAAATGAAGTTGGAGATCGTATGATAGAATTTTGCAAGACCAACAACATAGCAAATGCATTTTCCAACAAAACAAAAGGCAACTAGACACATAGACTTCCCCAGATGGAATACACAGCAATCAAGTTGACTACATCTGTGGGAAGACATGAAGAAGAAGCTCAATAGCAGCAGCTAAAACCAGGCCACGGGCCAACTGTGGAACAGACTATACATTGCACACATATAAGTTCAGATGAAACTGAAGAAAATTAAAACAAGTCCACAGGAGCCAAAATATGACCTTGACACTATCCCACCTGAATTTTGAGACCATCTCAAGAACAGACTTGCTGCATTGAACACTAATGACAGAAGACCTGATGAGCTGTGGGAGGTCATCACGACCATCCTTCATGAAGAAAGCGAAACGTCATTTTAATGGTAGTGGAACAATTGGGAGATGGATAACAATAATGGTTGTACAACATGAATAGTATAATCAATAGCACTGAGTTATATGAAGTTGTTGAATTGGTGAATGCCTTGTTGTGTATATTTTTGCCAAAATTGAAAAAACTTACATTAATAACAATGAGTACGGAATAAAAGCAAATGTCACGAAATTGATTGTGGTAAAGATTATACAACTCTTCTTTATATGGTTGAACTATTGAATTGTATGATATGTGGATGAAGTGCCAATAAAACGGGGTTTTTTAAAAAAGCAAAAGGTCATTAAAAAATAAGAACAAAAGAGGAGATCCAAGTGGGTGTCAGAAGAGGTTGAAATCTGCTATTAATCATAGAGTAGCAAAAGCAAGAGGAAGAAAGGATGAAGTTAAGATGCTGAATAGAAAATTTCAAAGGGCAGCTTAAGACGACAAAGCCAAATATAACAAAATGTGCAAGGCTGTAGAATTAGAAATCAAAAGGGAAAAAAATGCTCCGTTTATCCGAAACTGAAAGAACTCAAAAAACTCAAGCCTTGATTCGCAATTTAGAAAGACTCTACAGGCAAAAGAGTAAACGATGTAGAAAGCATCAAGACAGGAAAAAGACAGTCACTGTACCAAAAAGAACTAGTCACCAGCTTTTCAGGAGGGCGCACATGAGCAAGAACCAATGGTGCTGAGGGAAGCTCAGGTTGCACTGAATGCACTAGCCCCCAAAGGTTCCAGGAATTGATGGAAGACTCATGGAAATGTTTCAGAAAGCTGAAGAAGCCCTGGAAGCACTCACTCGTCTATGCCAGGAAATGTGGAAGACAGCTACCTGGCCAACTGACTGGAAGAGATCCGTATCTGTGCCCATTCCAAAGAAAGGCGACGCAACAGAGTGCGCAAACTATAGAGCGATATCGTGGGCATTCCACGCAAGTAAAACTTTGCTGAAGATCATCCCACAATGGTTGCAGCAGTACATTGACAGGGAACTGCCAGAAACTCAGGCTGGATTCAGAGGAGGATGTGGAACAAGGGCTATCATTGCTGATGTCAGATGGAACTTGGTTCAAAGCAAAGATCCATACCAGAAGGATCTTGGCTCATACCAGGAGATTTACTTGTGCTTCATTGACTATGCAAAGGCATTTGACTGTGTGGACCAAAAAAACCGTGGATAACCTTAAGAAGAATGGGAATTTCAGAACACTTCATTGTGCTCATGAGGAACGTGTACATGGATCAAGAGGCAGTTGTGCAACAGAACAAGGGAATGGTTTAAAATCAGGAAAGGTGTACATCGTAGTGGTAGCCTCTCACCATACTTGTTCAATCTGTATGCTGGGCAAATCATCAGAGAAGCTGGATTATAGGAAGAAAGGTGCAACATCAGGGATGGAGGAAGGTTTATTAACAACCTGTGGTATGCCGGTGATACAACCTTGCTTGCCGAATTGAGGACTTGAAGGACTTTCTGATGAAGGTCACGGGATTGTAACCTTCAGTATGCATTATACTCAGTCTAAGGAAGCGCACAACCCTCACAACTTGACTAACAGAGGAAATGTGGAAGTTGTCAAGGATTTTGTCTTACTTGGAACCACAATCAATGCTCACGGAAGCAGCAGTCCAGAGAGCAAAAGATGTTACTTTGAGAGGAGTAAAGTGCGCCTGATCCAAGCCATGGTGTTCTTCAATACATCATATGCATGTGAAAGTTGGACAGTGAATAAGGAAGACCGTAGAAGAATAGATGCATTTGAATTGTGGTGCTGGAGAAGAACTGAACATACCATGGACTGATAAAAGGACAAACCAATCTGAATTGGAAGAACTAAGACCAGAGTGCTCCTTAGAGGCAAGGATGGCAAGACTTCGTCTTACATACTTTGGGCATGCTGTTAGGAGAGACCAGTCCCTAGAGAAGGACATCATGTTTGGTACAGTGGAGGGGTGGCGAAAAAGAGAAAGGCCCTCAATGAGATGGACTGACACCGTGGCTGCCACAATGGGCTCAGGCACGGGAACAATGGTGAGCAGGGTGCAGGGTGGTGCGGTGGGTTGTTCTTTGGTGCATCAGACTCCATGGCTCCTAACAACCACCACCAGGAAGAGCAGCAGCTGAGCACTTCTCATTTTGTTATGTTTTTCAATAATCGAGTCATTAAGGTTGTTTTTACAAATACGATACTTTTTCACCCTCTTAAGACGTGCTCCCCTCCATGATACGATTGCTGAAGACAAAGCGGGTGAGTAAGTAAATGTGGCGAAGAAAGCTGATGGTGCC